CGGACTTGGCCGGGCCCGGGCCGGGGGCCGGGGTCGATGCTGCTTGCACTCGGTGGGGCAGGGCAGTGCTCGGGCTGGGTTTAAAGCCCCTCGCAGCCAGCTCTCTCCGCTTGGTCGCTGCCGCGCAGCTTGAGCGCCCGGAGACCCTCTGCCACTCTTCCTTAACTTCTCAGTTTAACTTCCATGTGTTTGCTCTTACGCTGTCTTTGCTTCTGCAAGCGTCTGCTGCAAGGAGTCACAGTTCTCTTAATCCTTATAAGTGCCGTCTCTACATCTTGGGCTGTGTCTCAGCTTGTGTGTGATAAGGCAGGCTCTTACTTTGTGTTTGATACTCTAATTTTTGCTGTTGTTGTTTTCATTTGATTGTAGAATGCAGGAGCCTTTCCCCAGAAGTAATTTTCTGACCGTTTATTATTTTCAATGGCATAAAAAGGGGTTACTCCTTCTCTCGGTGTGTGTTGGAGAGAGGGGGTTAGTTCAAAGGACTTGGCGACAGTAAAAGTAGATCATGATTAGAACTCAAGATTTTGCTGGGGTGTAGTATTTACTGACTGCTATTGTATTCAGTTATTTGAAGTTACTAATGTATGTTTATTTCTAGGACCGTTACTGTTCTTCTGTTGCACTCAATCTATGTGCATCGCTAAAGCAAACTTTCAGACTTTGTTAGATGAAAGTTCCAAACTTTAAAACTTAACTCATTTTCTTCAACCTTTCTTTGGGGGAGAGGGGCGAGCTGAGGAAGGAATGCAGGAGAGGCTAAAGCGTCAGTGAATTTCTCACGAGCAAGCATATTAAAACTTGCTTGATCCTGGGTTTAAATAATATTTTTTGAAAACACTTTTCCAAAGTACGGCAATAACTGATTCCCCATTCAAACTGTATGAGATCTTTATTTGTTTTTTTTTTCCTGACATCTGTGCTAGTAGTACGTTTCTTAAGTAGTTTTCTTATTCAGGCTTTTTTTCTTCTTCTCTCTTTATAGTAACTATCTTGACTTTAAGTAGTTTTAAGGGTTTCACTTGGTTTAATGCAGCCTTATGGCCTCTGATTAAATGTCATAAAATAAAGACAATTTAAAAAGAGAAAGTTGGTCACACAGCCTGAGGATTGAAACTTCCTATAAATGCACTGATAAGGAAAGGTAGATAGCATTTGCTGTGATCAATGTACAAATAGACAAAGATCAATATATCACATGCAGAAACTGCTAGAGTTGATCAGAGCCAGTAGAGAAGAGAGATTTTCCTTTTTTGCCTTTTTTTTTTTTTTTTAGCCTTTTGTGTATGTTAGTGTTATTTCAGGTGTACGAATAAGCATGGAAATCGGTTATAATGTCGAGTGTTCACTAAGTGGGTATAGTTAGTGTACGTTGTCATAAATATGTATTTTAGTTCTTGAAACAAGTAGATTGCATGTGGGAAGTAGTTTTAGCACGACCATATCCTATTTTCCAAGTTTTTGAAAATCTGCATTTCTAGTAGCAATTTCTTCGAAGATGGAAGTGGAAATGGCTTATATTTTGGGCCTATCAGCATGTTCCCCTTGAAAAAAGTAAAGCTCCTTGTGTAGAGCCAACCAGTTATTTCACAGATCCTTAAAAGTCTACTACTAACATTGGACTAGAGGTTCCTACTGCTATATTGTCCAGTTCTTTGTGCTATTTGAACATTTGCCAAACAGTTAAATGCTAACTCATGCACATGTGCAGAGCTCAACATAGACCGGGAAGCTACTGGTGCTCAAACAAATTAGGTTTGTGAATATGTATTAACGTCTTAACATACGTATTGGATGGTTTACAGAACAGCTTTTAAAACTTCAGTATTTCAAGAGCTGTATCACCTGCAACATGTGGGTTCATATGTATAACTGATAAAGAATCAAGTTACCTTAACACCATATGAGTATGTTATTTTTATTACTGTAATCCTTGCTACATCATATCTAAAATTAGATTGAAGCTCTTCAGAGCCTTGACCTATCTTATGTTTCTGGAATATACCTAGTACACTTCAGGGAACTGAAGTTAAAAAGATACTTTTTTATTTCAGTCATGTCACAGTTTAACTTTCTAAATATATCTCCTTGTTTACCAAGAACTTAAAGTAGCCCTTTAATGTGCTCAAAAATCACTGTATCAGTCTTGCTATAGTAGTAGAAAAAATGTATTATAAATGGGACTAGCTTGGAATAAGGTAATTTTAATATTAAAAAATAATTCTTTTAATGTTTAAGATTTGAAGATAATCTGTGTAGATTGACACGACTTACAGAAGACTGTGACCTATAAACTACTAAAACACTAAACATTTCCTACTTGCAATCCAAGATAACAAATGCTTTTATCATTGCCTTGAAGTTATATGGTTTATATATATAATGCTTATCTTATGCTCATGATATACAAATTTGAATAATACGTACTTTTGGTTTATGGAACTCTGTTCACAAACCTTATAAATTATAATAGACTGCACACATACTTTAACTAATAGTCTGCTAGCGATCTGCAAACCAGGAAGTTTTGAAACTAGATCATGACTTGGTGCCACCTGTGTATCAATGCCATAATGATGTTGCAGTTTTGAAGTCCATTCTTCAATAATCTTTTCCTTAACATAGAAAGGAAGGGGGGTTACTTTCTTAATGTATTAGAAAAGCTCTTCTTGGAAGAGTATGAGCAGTGCTAATGCACACCAGAAATAGGAACAACTTCAAGTATTGATTCCTTTTTTCCTTGAGGTATTAATGAGCTCTTTAAGCATGTTTTGTTTCTTTTTACACCTCTTACAGTTTTTTTTTTTTCCCCCCTATGCTGTATATAATAAGGAGAGGAATTATATTATGTTTACACAGACCATTATCAACTTGCAAAGTTTCTCAGGCTGCCAAACTCTTACTTGAAAGCAATATGAAAGCTGAAATGATTTCTCAGATCATAGTTTGATCTGTAGAATTAGAAAATCCCTTCTGGTATTTGAACACATCTTCCTTCCCACCCTGCCCCTCAAACACAGCTTGAATATTTTCAGCTGAAGAATGCCAACACTTAAATTTTCTAAGACTGTTCATGTCTGTAACAATAAAGAAGAAAATTACTTTTAGTTCCCCATTTCAGCAAAAAAGTGTCTTGTAAAAGGGCTAGGAAGCATCTCTCCACAGCTGAAAGCTTTGAGTTGTCAGTCAAAGCTTTCCTCTGGTTTCCCAGAGGAAAAAGTCAGATTTTGAAAGGGAAATATTAGAGAGGTACTTAGTAATGTCTGTCAGAATTGTAGGTGTGGTATTAAAATGTGGAGCTTGGCATGGTGAAAAGCCTCCTCGAAACACTGGAGCCACTTTTAAAATGTTGCAGAAGTAGAATAAATAGATCCTGCTGTAATATGAACATTTGTGTTGAAATGTCCTACAGTGGCAATATTAACAGCTCTTTTAAACTTAACTGAAAACATTTGTAGTCTTATATATTTTTAATTTCGTCTCCAAGGTCATTATTATCTCTTTTTAATTCAGTGTAAACAAACATAATGCAGGAATAAACTGTTCTGTAAAATTATTTTCATGTTGCCACTGTAGTATTTCAGTGAATCATAAAAACAGTGTTTCGTGGGTAGTGCTTGTTTGATATGCTTGTTAGCTGAGCAGTTAATTGCAAGCTAACCACGGTATGACAGCAAACGTATACCTCTTGCGTTTTTGCTGTATGAGGGAGAGAAAGAAAGAGGGGGAGAGAGAGGGACATTTGCAGCCGTGTTTCATAGTTGTGTAGCACTCCAGCTACAATGGCCAAGTCCAGCCTTTTTCCATCTTTATCTGTTATTTGAGAATGACTAATAATTGTATCTTGACAATGTTTTCTTTTGCAGTATATTGACAAAGGACCTAACTGCTATCACTGCAGCTTATAAAGAGGAAATACTACTCTTTGCCCATGCGGTTTGAAAATACTTGGCATCAATAACAGCTGTGAACCTAATAATAAAGACTGTATTGTGCTACTTTTTACCATATATATGAAGAGCAAACTATATCACAGTTAGTGTACAGAGCACTGGAAGTTCCAAGCTTTTGACTGACATAGTCATGCTGGAGTGCGCTAACTTTTTTCTTATGCCAAATACCGTAGAGAGTCTACAGATTTCCAGTCTTAGGACTGGTGTAGCGCCAAGAGCAACATCCAGTTCTTGTTTTAGCATGACTGAGCACTTTGCCTCTGCTGGTTTCTTCTTCTTCTTCTTCCCTTCTCTCTGTGAAGAAGTGTCTTTAACTTATTTTCTGACTTTCAGATTTAAATTTACAGTGTGTTTTTCAGAGTAGTAATAGCACAACATTTCTACCAGCCGTAACTAAGCTCCTAGGCAGGCTAACTGTGGAGTTCTTGTGTTTTAAAATGTATTTTAAAAAAATAAAACCCAAACTTACCCTGCTCTCTCATCATTTAGAGAGAATAACAAGTACTTGTGATGTTCTAAGTGTTATTGGCGTGTTTTTTCTAGATTCATGGTGATGGTATGATCAGAGGGTCTGAGTATCAGCATCAGGTGGATTCCCTCTGCGATGCCAAATTGGTTATATTCTTTAGATATTTCTTATGATCAGCTTTATTTTCCTTTTTGGAGAGAAATGCAGTGAAGTATCTTCTGTATGGCAAGAATGGAGTTTGCAATAACCTTTCCTCTTCTGTAAGCTTGAATAGAGCAGTATTAGTTTACTTGCTGGTTCTCTTTCATCTCTGCAAAGTGAAATGTAATATTCCTTTTTAATAATTCTTTTGGATAATGTAAGTCACTGTAACCCTATTGTTTCCTGTCGATATATCTGAGTGTCTTTAGAGCACTTACAGGCTTCTCCTGGAGAAAATCTGGAATTGAGTGTTTAAAAAAATTTTTTTTTTTGAAATTTTGGTACATTCTCATGTTCTTCTGTAACAGTGAGTAACAAGCAACATTTTCACAGAGCATTCAAGGAGACATTCAACTCATTATGCTTACAGTTATAAGACTGTAAATATTCCTTTCAAACAGTTGTTTCAAAAAGTACTTAAATATACCTCGTCATCGTAATAGATCAACAATAGCTGGACTTCTGTTTTTTGTAAAATTTATACTCCGATGAATTGTCATCACTTTCTGTCCTCTCTCCTAATGAATTAAACGCTGGATGGAAAAATTACAATTTAACAAATACTCCTATGCCAAAGATTTTACTTTTATCCTAGGTGAATGATTCTGGTTTTGGAACTGTGTCGTGAGGACGTAGATATTGCTTATAGCTACAGGGGGGGCAATTGAAAGCACACTAAATGTATCCCTAGTCCTCCCTGCTCCCTTCAAACCCTCCCTCTGTATTTTGTCCTGAGAATAGGTGCTTAGTGTTCAAGAATAGTACCAGCCAGAATGCTGGGCTCGCTTTCCTGTGGAGAAGACTGCTTGTTGAACAAAATGATTCTATTCGTAGAAGAAGAAATAAGGCTGCTTACCCAAAACTAGACTTCTTTGTAATGAACCTGCCTCTGCATAATATCCGCTTGCTTTCTTTCTCAAATCATGTGTTTGTCAGGCTCCAAGGACTGCATCTGAAATGATTTTGGAGCGCTGCTCTATATATTATCCTCCCTCCCCCCTTCCTCCCCACCCCCCCAAAGAATGTGGAAGCCAATTTGATCAAACGATGTTTTCTTTCTTATTTCTGTGCTACTTTTCCAGGAAACCTAATCATTAAAAAGAAGCCATCTCAGTACAATTTCGGACTTGCGATGGCATCTGCTGTAATCAGTTCAGTTCCCTCCACTGCATCTCGTTTTGCTTTGCTACAACTAGACAGTGATACTGATTCAGAGCCTGGAAAGGGCAGAAGCAGCCGAGGTGCTGGTAAATCTCAAGCTTCAGCAGGGAGATCTTCTACAAATGAGAAGAAACGAGAGAAAAGGAGAAAAAAGAAAGAACAGCAGCAAAGTGAAGCTAATGAGGTAAAGGGACTGTATTTTCAGTAGTGGGTAAGATTGTTATTCATTAAATAGTTAATATGATGGGGCTGCTGTTCTTTTTTTATGAAACAAATAACTTCTTAATTGCAGAGACATTTCAAATTTTCTGTAGTTTTATTAAAAGTTCATTATGTAAACGTAGGATACTTCCTACTATATAATTTGATATTCTTAGTGAGAATGACCTGCTGTTTTTTACTTTTTATTTATTTATTGCCTGACATCAACCCCTGAGTAGTTAATCACTGATGCAGGAAAAGACTTTCTTAAAAAGCAATTGCTGTGGAGCAGCTTGTTTTCAGCCTTTTGTAGGTAATCAATTTTTAGTTGCCTGCTTGAACAGCCAGCATGCTGAAATTCAAAGGTGGTTTGAAGTTGGTTTTTTTTTTTTTCTTTTTAGCAGATAGCTAGACCTACCTACTGTGTCTGAAGAGCTTTTAAAACGGGTACCTAATTTTTACTTCTCAGTCTTGTCCATCACTCCAGCCCTGAATCCATTAGGTCCACACTTTTTTTTTCCTTTTCTGAATTTGGAGGGATGGCAGTGGTGTTCTTCTGACATTTGAGTTCTCAAGCCTAAGGTTAAATGGAGATTGAGAAGCAGGACTGCAAGAATTGTTTCAAAATTATGGGTAGATGAATCAGAAGCTGCTCAAACCACTATCTAGCTGCTCTGCCTGAAAATATACATGTGTTACTGCTTTTTTTTTTTTTTTTAAACTTTACTTTTCTTTTGATACTGAAGTTTAAGCTCTTAATGGACATTCCCTGACTTTTGTGCCTGCCTGTGCAACTCCAGTACCATCAAAATTTCTGTGTGTTTGCATATGCACTGCATATACTTATATTCGTTTGCATGGAATTGATATTTAATCCTGTGATAGCAAAGACACAAAGTAGGGCTGATTTAGCAAAGACACAAACTAGGGCTGATTAATTTTTTTCACCCCAGCATGTACTATGTCTATCTTTGCTTACTCCACTGAAATAGTAAATTGGTGTTCCTGCCAACACTGTAAACTGAAGGAGGGAGCCGGGGGTTTAGTATTGGTGCCAGTAGCGCGGGTAAAGAAGGAAGAGGCAGTATGTGAAAGGAGCGTTTGGAGGGGAAAGAAAACAATTCTGATTTCTCTGCACTGGTACCTAATTTTAAGTAACTTTAATGTAGGATGAGCTGCCATTTTAAGAAGTGGTTGTGACGCTTTGTAAGCACACCTTAAGTATAATATTGCCACCGCTGTACTTGGTTTCACTTCTCAAGCATCAGATAATAGTTTTTCTTCCCTCCGGTAGCCTTTATGTTAAGGAAATTCCTGACTCTAAACTGAGGCGAGATTGTGTGGGTGTCTTTATTTTCACTTCATGTTAGGGCTAGACTGTCAGCTACTGTTTAAGCTTGAGCATTGTATATCTTTTATTCTGAGCTGCAAAATTTGAAGGTTATTTGTTCACTACTAACTTTTATAATTGTGTAAGGTATTCTGAAAGTGACACCATAGTATCCCTGTGGTATAGCAATTAGAGGTAATTCTTATTGCAGGTTTGTAGCTCTTAAAATGTGACTCACTTCAGATTGTTGACAAACTGTAAGGATTGTCTGTCTCGTTGTTTGTTTTTTAACCTGATCCTCTAATTTCTCTGATCATCCATGCCAGATCTGCGTATTGTGTTCTTATATGGCACTATATTTAATTTGGGTCAGGCGTGAGCACATGGTTGCATTTCTGCAAAGGGAACTTAACATACAGCATAAAACTTTCATATAAATTGTATTATCTGAAGGAGGATGGATAGTACCTGATCTAGCATGAAATCTGTAGGACACAGTTACCTCTTCAGATTTCTTCAAAGTGTTTTCAGCTGGCAAAACATACATACTATTTCATTGCTTTACGTTATTTGGCTGCAGCATTTATGATCCACGGTTAAGATCCAAAAGAAATTTTAACTTCTGGTGCCTACCATATCTGATTAAACAAAAATTAACCCCAAACTGCAGGATAAGGTAAAGTACATATATGTCTATTTACACATGTGCCTGAATGTTTTTGTTAGTCCATTAAAACTGTTACTGTATAATCATTAATATTCAGGCTAATGTTAAAAATACCTTATTTTGTTTCTCAGCTCAGAAATCTTGCTTTTAAAAAGATTCCTCAGAAATCCTCCTATGGAGGCTATCTATCTCAGCATGAACAAGCATTGCACAGCACAATGCAGAAGGACTCTCAGGAAGAAAACTGGCAAGAATGGAGGCAAAGAGACGAGCAGGTACAGCTTACAATATTACCTTTTTTGGCTTTGAAATGTGTTACTCTATAATGGAAAGTCTCAGAAATAAAGAGATATGGCTGAAGAGAAAGAAACAAAATATTGCCACATGGAAGGAAGCATTTCAGTGGAAATTTAGGTTACCCTTCTGTCAAGTGTACTGATGGCCGTTCAGTATATTGGTAGCTTAGAGCCAGTACATGTTGGTTCTAACGTAGCTCATAGCTGGGGTGTGAAATTTGGAATATGTTAGGGGGCATTCAGATGATTTGGAGAAAAGACGAAAACACTGCCATAGGAGAATGGTGAAGGGCTGTAGTGGGAGAGAAGCTGAGAATGTTTTGGGGGAGTGATGTATGGATATGCAGTACAGATCCATAGTAAACTAAGCTTTGTAAGTTCGGTTAGGAGTGGAATAATCAGTTCCTTTCTAGATAATCAAGATCATTTCACCTCTGAATGCTGACCATCCTTTTGGAGACCAGAGTAGCCCTATCTTTGAGTGTGAGAACCTCCGTTTTTCTTAGAACCTATTTTTGGTAATATCCCACTGTTAGTTAACATTAACATTAACACTGTTATGTTAATGTTAGTTAACATTAACATTAACACTTAAAGAATAGAGTAGAGATAAAGCAGACTGCCTGTGCCTGTATGAAAGCTAGTATCATGCTTTGTCTGTGTGCCTGCTTGCCCAAGCTACCACAAACAGAAATTGCACAAAGAAATACACTTGATCAAAAACCATAAAACAGTCTTTACCTTAACCTGATACAATAGTTCGTCTTGTTGCTCTGCTGTCAGTGAGGAAGAATGCTTGCAACTGGAAGTAACCGTTTTCCTCCTTGACTGTATCAAAAAGGAACATTTAAAACACGGAATTACTGAACACCAATATAGTGATTTTCTTGTATGGTGCCCTATATGAAAGTTTTCAATTGTTTGCAGTACTTTGGCTACTTTAGATAGAAATAGTGGGTGTGGACAAATATTTTGTTTTAGTGCATTTACTGAATAGTGCTTAAGTAAGTGTTTCACTATACCTTTTTTCTAGGTTCTTTTTGAACCCTGCTACACAGATTTGTGTTTTCTTTTTCATGTAACTGAGTCATGCAGAATTCACTGTGGATAGTACAGTTTTGGCTGTTCTGGTATGCTTGAAGGTGCCTTTCAAAGTGTTTAATTTTCTGCAGGCTCTTTCATGTGACACCAGCTAGAGTTGGAAAGTGTTGCCTGCGGTTACTGAACTTCATATGCTGGCAGCTACTAGAATGCTGTTTCCTTTTACAGAGATATTTTCAACATATGTCTCCTCATGAAAGATTGTATTCAACTGCTTCCTATTTAATTAAGAAGATATACAGAAAGCCATATTGACAAATGATGAATTTGGATGCTGGCCTTGATTGTCGCTAATGCTTTGGTATATTTCCCTCCTGAAAGAGAGTATAGCCACCTCTCTAGGTAGACTTCTGGATTATGGTCCTCGCAGTGGAGTAGTGTCCTAGTAATCATTTTGAAAACTTCCAGACCTAATTAGCTTGAGATTTACTTGTAAGGTACAGGTTTACTTTGCTCAGCACTTGCAGGTTTGTATTCTGCCTACTATAAAGCAGTCATTTCAGGTAAACAGAGACTTTTACAATCTAATTATTGGGTGGCAGTCAGACAAAGCAAACTCTGTTATGAAACGATTGATGCTTACTCATTGGTAGCTTGCTGACATACAGGCTACACTCCTGTTAAAGTTGCCTTGGGATTTTTTTATAGTAAAAAAAAATAACTTCAGCTGTAACCTATGATAGTTACAGTCTTGAAGACATTTTCTGTCCCTTCTTATGAGGGGAAAAAGGAGTAGCCAAATGCTGTCATTGACTCTTGAGGTGCGCAGACCGTTTTGTAGCAAGCACAATTACATTTTTAAAGCAGCTTTCTATAGTCACAGTGGACTGAGCATAAAGAATGGAGTTACAGTATGGATTGTAAATATTCTCCCAGCAAGTTCTGTGTTGACTTTTATTTTGCTAGAATAAAAGTTTAGTGAAATAGTTGACATTGTCGTGATCACTGTTAGGCTGCAGTGTGAATATTTTATAAACACAAAGTAATTAAACTCATTGAGTTATTGGAATGACTTCTATCCTTTAGGCTTTGAGGCAACCATAGGGGTTAATAAGTGAAATTTTCTTGGTTCATAAATGACTTTGTTTAAAAACATTGTGTTTTAGACCTCAGAGTGCCTGGAAGTCCCACAAATTGCTTTAAACTTTTTAAACTTTACCCAGAAACTTAAAAATGTGAATATTGGAATCTAAGCAGAAAAAATACCGCTATTTGAGTATCATTATATTAGAACAGCAATCAAAATTTTTGCCGTAGTTCAAAGTATATCCGTGGAGTATGTGTCTCTAAGATAGTCTCAGTACAACAGGTATAATCAGAAGATTTTCTTTGTAAGCTTTTACTTTATTTCACCATTAGTTATTGCTGATGTATTACAGAACTGGCAGGCATTGAATTGGCCTTGTTTTCCTTAGGGGAGGAAAAAGGACCCTGGAGTGAAAATGGTGAGGAATTTAGTTTAATTACAACCTATCCATTTTTAGGCTATTATGGAGATGGACTAAAATCCTGGGAGTCCTCATTGATTTCCCCCCGCCCTCCACCCTACTGACAAGACAATGAGGCATTCATGATACTGAAATAAACATTAGAAAATAAAAGCCAGTGTCATACAAGGAACCAGGAACCTTCAGTAGCTGCAGCTATGCTTTGTTACATCTATTTAGTATTGTCATCAACAGTTTTAGAAATAACTTAATTTTTTTTTTTGTCCAGAATCTTGTTGCCCAAATTGTGTCACAATAGTTTAATTTCAGGAAGTGCTTTCAGTGTTACTTTTTTGAAGTAACAAGTAACAACATTTGTGCATCACTTGTGTGAAACTATTACTTATTAGTTGTGTCTTTTAAGCATATAATTTCAAGAATCTGTTGATAACTCTGAATTAAAGAATTGTGACGTTAAGGTATATTTGATTACAGATGCAAGGTACCAGTGTTGGATACTCATGCTCCAAATATAGTAATCGGTGAAGAAAAAAATAAATATGTGAAGAAAAGAATAAAAAATTCGCCAAAAGGCAAATCTGCTGAGTACTAATCTATCTAGTCAATCTGAGCACTGGGACTCAGAATTGATACATTACTGAGGGCTGCATATAATTTTTTTTCCACCACAGGAACACAGCCTTGTTCAAAACACGCTCTATTCTGTTGCCTCCCCTAAGCAAGCCAAGAGGAGAAAGCGATGAGGTGGAGGCACGTGTAGCTTCTGTTTAGTTTAGCTGTTAAACAACTTCAAATCAAATCTGGGATATACATCCTCAACTTGAAATGCTCCAAGCTTTTCACTTCCCCTTCCTGTGAATGTGCTAAGAGCATCAAACTGTGGGGTGATTTTTATCTGCATCATTCCATCCCTCCAAAGCTATGTTATTTTCCTTGTGGGATTTGCACTGTACCCCTACACAGAGTCAGTATTGCCCTACTCGAGTCAAGTGTTGCTCGCCATTTAGCAGTGAAGTTCTGTGCCTTTCAGCCCATTGACTCTTCAGTTTTGTGGGAGAATGAAGCTTCACAGGAAGGGTTTTAGAGCTCTTATCACTGGTTGCTTACGTATATGCTTATTGCATCATTACCACCATTTTAGAAATCTATATTTTATAGAGTCTATGTATAGCTTTTTAAGACCAAGTTATTGTATCAAAGGCAGATATGGAGGAAAAAAGGAAGGAAGCAATGAGAGCAAGTGCTTTTGTTGATGTGAAATGCATTAAAGGAGGAATTGGTTAAATAACTTTAAATCTCACCATAGCACCATTCTGTTAAAAATAAGAGATAGTAATTATAACGTAAAGGTAAGGTATCCTATAAAGATAAAGAGTGTTGGAAGCTTATGAACAGCCTGAGCTGTGTTGAGGGAAGATGGGGACCGGCTGCAAACAAGTTCAGTAGATTTAAGAATGCAAAACTTCCAAAAATGGCATTGTTCCACATCTAAGAGGTTTTTTTTGTTTTTTTGTTTGTGTGTTTCTTTTTTTTTTTTTTTTTTTTTTTTAATAAAGGCTTGCTTGTCTCAAGAGTACTGTGGTTTGGTCAAGGTTATGTCAAAGGTTGATCAGTACTTTTAACTGTCTTGCTGTCCCTGTTTTTTAATCAACTCATGCCGATTGGCTTGTGAGATAAAAAGCATCTTTTATCTGAATTGGAGAAACTTATTTGTGGGATGGTTCAGACTGCAACTTAGGCATACTTCTCTCAGAGAAGAGATGTGGGTTTGAATTCTTCATATCTGGAGGCATGAAATCCTAATCTCTCACTTCCTCGTTCAATAATACAGTATTGATACTGAAGAGGTGTATTTTGACCAGTATACTGTAAGGCAGGGTGATATTTAACACATGGTGAGAAACAGTGACTCTCTGCTCTCACAGAATTCGGCTCTACAGAGAGCGTTTCCCAGTTCATGCAGAGTTCCTGTTGGCATATTTACCCTCCAGATTTATAAAGAGAAGTACTGTCTGGCACTTTAATTTGAAAGGATTGCCAATATCTGTCTTAACTATGGAGCTAATATATAATTAAGGTGGATAATACCACTCTTCCCTCAGCAGTGCTTTTAAGAGAGTCACTGTAAGAGCTTCCTGCACGGATTTCAACTTGTTACAGAGTATCAAGTGTGCTCTGAGTTTGTCTGCTGGGCTTGCACCCCTGACCCACCCATCCACCCAACCTCAAGGTATGCAAGCAAAGGCACCTGTGGTTCCCAGGTTCTGGACAGGTCTAAGTGATAGTGAGAATATATAATAAGGCAGAGAAGCAGAAATGAATGTGCTTGGGAAACTTGGTGGGGATGCCAGGCTTTAAGAGCATTGGGGGTTAAGTAGCTCAGTGGAGAGATATAGAAGTAGCTACTTTAGTTCTTAAGCAGTCTGCTGCAGACCCCCTGTCCTGTCCTGAGTGGAATGACTGTTAGATAAATTTATAGTAAGATTATTATCGTATCAGATCTCAGAATGCCTTTTTTTGTATGAAATTGTTTGATTTTCATAAGAGTATTGCGGTTGTACTAATTCTTAATAATTATTTGGGATCTTGTGTGCTAAATTATTTACAACATATGAAGAGAAAAATCCTAAGTTCGTCTTCCATGTAAGCTTACTGTATTTGTTTGTATTGTTCTCTCTCTGTTTTTTAAGCTTTTCTCACCTCGATTCAGCCATTTTTTCCTCTGTGTTTATATTGAGCTTTTCAGTGCTGTGGGCAGGTCTTAATTTTTGGTAGATAAGTATCACGATCAGATTGGATTCAACAGCTGGTACTAAACTTGAGCCACAAACCACTCAAGACTAGAAATAATAGCACCCTGTAGCCTACAAGAAATCTTGTCACAGCTTGCGTTGAGAGTACCGTTTTACTGTGTTTAAAATAACTAGTCAAAAAGAGATGAATGGTTCTCCCTTTCTCTCTCTCCCGGTTTCTCACGACACTAAGACAAAACCTGAGGGTGCTCTTTGGTTTTCCTTTATGCAAGACTGATTCTGGAATGAATAGCAGGGTCCTCAGTTTCAAATTTGAAGAACAAGAAAGTGATGTTTTGGTTTTTTTTTTTTTTGTGGTTAATATTTCAGTTATGGACATGAAACAGAGAACTACAAGGAAGAATAAGGCTTCTATCTGGCAGCACGTTACACTGAGGACTGTAACGATCATTAAAAGAGTAGTTCTCAAAGGCATAGAGTTTTGCATTTGAAACAACTTCGCCTTCGTTAACTTACTGTATTCAGTAGAAGAGGTCATTACCAGTTTATATATTTAGCTTATGCACTATCTAATTTTTCAGTATCTTAACTTTAGCATTTACTTCCAGGTAAATCCCTTCTTTTGGCCCCATTGAACTGTTGCTGATAGGGGTCACGTGCTCACATTCAGTACTTCTGCCTTTTATTGAGTAGAAGCTGGCCTTGCCCACACTTTTCTATCTTCCTGTCACACAAAGACCAGGTATCCTGTCCTTGATTGTGTCATGTTGTTCCCAGTTCTTCTGCTTCTTAATAGCTCATGCTTAGAAAATTTCAGTTTTCCTTTCTGTCTCTCAAGGAAACTCATATACTTCCTTCTCATTTTCTCAGAAATGAAAGAGAAAACACCATTCAGACTTGCTTAGCTTTGCTCTCTGTCGTAGGGGAGGTGTTCGTTTCTTAGTTTAATCTTTCCTGTGCAATAGGAGAGCTCTTTGGCTTCTTAGTGATCCTTTTACAATGACAGTACTTCTAACATCCTCTTGTCTTTTTATGCTGAAACATGAAAACCAAAAATAAAAATGATTTTTAAAAGATCTCATATAAACAAATCTTGAGAATGGTAACGGTATTGACATTAAGATGTGCACAACTTACTGTACACTTACATGGCACAGTTTTCTGAAGCAAAGCATTTTATTACTGATGGTACAAATTAGTATATTGATTGCTAATGTCATATTTCACATCATATCAAGCTTTTGGACAACTGTAATGCTATCTGTATTGAAAATGAAATTTTAACGTGGTTTTAGTGGTTTGATCGCCTTTTTTAACAACCTTGTCACTAGGAATATGTTAATTTTCTTCAGCTGACATCTGAAATGTTTGAAGCAGATCTTGAAAAAGCACTGGCTTTTCAAAGGCTTGAATTTAAAAATAAATCACTCAGCAAAAGTAATACTTTTTTGTGTAAATTGTTTGCTTACTGTTCAAATACTTAAGAGTTCAGAGAAAGAGCACAAAAAGGTATTTGTGGGTTTCATCCTAGTGTAAAATCTGTACAAGTGTAAGGCTTGGATTTAAAAATTAATCACTTGGCAAAAGTAATACTACTTTTGTGTAAATTGTTTGCTTATTAATCAGCTGCTTAAGAGTTCAGAGAAAGATTTGAAAGAAACTATATATAATATTGTATTTTAAAATAAGCCTGTAAACATGGAAAATTAGTTTAACCTTTTCAATCTTCTGACATATACTGAAATTTTGAAAGTACAACAAGGGATCCTGTCTGTACTTCCTTAGAAGAAATCCAGCACCCTTAGAATCAAAGCACTGACTTTTCTTTAGGCCTTTTAGTTAGGTTTGAATCTTTTGCGTTTTCACTGACACTTTTTCCATTTTGCGTTACATATCTTAGTTTTAATTTATTCTACTTTTTCTCTTAGCTGACGAGGATGCTATTTTCTGGGTACTTCTTAGGGAACACTGGAGAGTTAGTTGCCAAAATATTTTGAGAAAGTATGCTCAGAAGAAGTTTTAACCTCTTAAAATTCAATGCTGAATTTTTGACTTCTATATTTAAAGTTATTTTCAAAAGTGAAGACTGTCTTCAAGCATAGTAAAACAGCATCTTTTCTAACTTTTTTTCAGAATAAGCTTCACTGAACAATTTAAAGTACGTAGAGTTCATTTTTAAATATACAATATGCATGAGGAGAGAGGACCAATTTTACAGAAGGAGTAGCATTCCATTTCCCCTTCCCATCTTTGCTTTCTATATAATAACCTTTTTTAAGACTATTTTGGCTATGAAACTAGGGCATATTGATGATTTGCTAAGAAAGTTAATGCAAATAGGAGGAGTGGAACTCTGGTTAAAATGGATACCATGTACCAGCCTGTATGATTTCAGTCAGCAGGAGATAAGGTTGATTGGCAGAGCACTGCTGCGCAGTAACAGCGGTGTGACTCCTAGTGAATGAGTAAGCATATTTTAAGAGTAAAAGGAAGATGCTTTTGGCCTGCTTTTTTAAAGGAAGTGTTAACGGGCGTTATGTAGCACTCTACACTTGCGCTTTTGACTACAGTATATTAGCAGACTGTCAATTTTTGGATAAAACTTTATTTGGATGATAGGAGGTGTTAGACTGATAATTGATTGACTGTTTAGTAAAGATCAATATTCTACTTTAGCGAACAAAGTTGATGCTTAGTTGCTGATAGGGGCCTTACACTCTTTAAACCAATCAGAAGCCTGCAGATTGTGTAGCCTAAAACCTCCTTTAGTATATTATCACTCTTTTTTTTTTTTTTTCCTTTATAAAGCTTTAGGAAAAAAATATATGGGGTATTGAAGAAAGTTATACCAGTGGGACTTTATTCTTCCAGGAATATGAAAACATTGAAAATACTTCACTTCAGTCAAAGTCTGTGAATAAGAAAGAGAAAAAAAAGAGCCAGCAAGGAAAAGACAAACCTCTCACTGTGTCTCTGAAAGATTTTCAGTCAGACAGTCCTATAGGTATGCCTTATCGTATTAGTATATCTGCTTATGAGCTATTTTACTTGGAATTTTGATAGCGTATACATTAACAGCAAAACACCCTCTAAGTTGGAACTTGACATTTTTTCTGTTGGTTAATACTGTCTTTAAACAAACACGAAATGAGTTGGAATTAATGTATCCTATGAAGTCTAAGAGCTAGAAGTCCATTTTATAACAATGAACTGGTTACACTAGCAGAAAAAGGGAAGAGGTTAAGGAAAACATAGTTTCATGCATTTCTGGGGTGAGGGGGACACACTCAAATACTCTTAATGTGGCTTTTTTTTCTTCTGTCCTTTAAGTGTTTGGGGCCTAGGTTGGGTGGGGGGGCGGGGGGAGAGGGAGGTTGTACTAAGCCTGTGCTTCTCAAACAACTGAGTTTTTGTTCCTTGGGCACTGTTTGCCTTTCTTCATGGTCTTGACCCTTTATTAGAAGGGGTAAATGTTTCAAAAAATTCTTATACTCATTTTTACATGTTCAGAATTTTCATCTGTACCTATAGAGCAGGGATTCTGAATTTTAGTGGAGAAATTAAGACAGACCCTGAAAAAGGAAGAAAGCAGTTCATTTTGTAAGTTTTTTTTTTTTTAAAGAATGTTTTCGTCCAAATACTGCAATATTTGTTAAACACGTTCTTTCCAAAGAATCTAAACAGAGAAAAACAGAATGAAAACAGTGTTAGTATCTTGAGAGGCAATTAGAAGGCATTCAGGTATGCAGTGAGATATGTGCTATAAAACTGTAAGTAGAATTTAAAACAAAGAAACAAGGATGATGTCTTCTGCTTTAACTGAAGTAAGTGCTTATGGCATGCTTTTGATTATATTAGTCTGAAATATGTTGGAAAGACTGCAAATATAGGATTGACCTAAAACATAGTTTATAATTCTTTTCTTCTAATGCTTTAGTCTTTTTAAAAGTTACTTTGAGATGAGAGTTAATGCTGGAAAAACTACTGCGGAATGCAGTAGATTTCTCCTCGCTTTTCAGAATGATATACTTTAATGGCCAGCTGTACAAGATTTGAGTAACTTACTGCTGGCATCTTTTTTTTTTTTTCTTCCCCTTTTCTTTTCAGATAACCTTGCTAAAAAACATGAGGTAAGCCTTATTTTTTTTTTTTTTTATTAAACTAGTTAGACTAACTCAGTTTAAAAGGTAGTTATTTCAGCAAAAGATATGGTCACTTTTGTAACAACCATCAAATATATATTCCAAAATGTAGTGCTCTGTGTTTGGAAAACTTGTATGGACAACTGTGGACTTTAACTAGAGTCATTTGTCTGCAGTTTCTACTGTCAGAGAACTTGGACTAAAGGCTGAGAACTAAAGGCTTTCTTGGAGCTAGCTTTTGCTTTTTTTGCTTTCAAATAGTCTTTAACGTTGGTGCAACTTGCAGATTTGAAAGCATGTTAAAAATATCAATTTTAATACAAAAAAGAGAAGCAAAACAGGTCAGAAAATACTAATGGTACTACATGGTGAGCATGGTCCAGTAATACTAAAACTCTTACAGGAAAGAATTGTTAACAGTGAAATAAAACAAAATACTGTGGGCGTGGTACAAACATATTACATTCTAATTCAAAGCTTCTGTGTAGTTAAATTGTCAGTTAAATATTAACTGTTAATTGATTTCTAGACTTTTCAGCTGGGATCAGATATTCTGTAGGCAGAAGTCACGGTATTCTCAAGATGTACAACATAAAACAGTATCTGGACTTTGCACTTTTCCATAACAATCTATTTTAAATGTGATGTCTTTTAGCTGAATATTGACTTATATGTGAAAGGAGATAAGTTATAATTCTTATTTTTGACAGGAACTGAGTTCTGCACAGTCTTTTTTACATGATGGAGGATTTTTCAATAGGCTGGAAGATGACGTTCACAAAATACTTAAAAGCGAAAAGAAGAGAGACCAGCTCACCGAGTACAATGGAATGGATGACACTACATCTCATGAACACAGCCAGGCATGTACAGTAGCAGCCACTGAAGTGACGAAGTTTGCCTAATTTTCATTCTTCTGTAATGATTAGAAGAGAGCACCTGATTAGAAGAAAGCACAAATCAAAAGAATGATAATGTTAAAAGAGCCTTCTAAAAACTGTTTGTATTCTTTTATACCTAAAAAGAAATTTAAGTTGCTTTGATTTTTTTTAAACAGAAAACAGTCCTCACTGAAATATTTTTGCTCCACAACACACAGCAATACTTATTACTGCCTCTCTTATTCATCTCTTTTGTATCTGTGCAACTAAGTGCACGCGTACATCTTTAATTTCAGTCAAAAACGTTATTACAAACAGGAATAAGTTTCCTTTCCCGAGAACAGAATTCACATGACTGAGTTATTAAGAAGTGATGTTTGCTTGTTTATAGGAGGGTGTTTTGAAAGATGGAAAAACAGAACGACTAAAGCTCGAACTTGAAAAGAAAGATACAGAAATTCAGCAATTGAAAAATATAATAACTCAGTGGGAGGTATGTAGCTGATAATACCTGCAAGTAGTGAAGAATAAGTCCACTCTATGAAGTGCTTAAAGAGAGCAGTGCATACTTTGTCAGATTTAAGGGGAGTCCTTGAAAGCTGCAGCATAACGGTAATGGTGTTCCTATATTCTCTTTTCCTATTACATACAAACAAAGTTGGAAGTGAGATTCAGCATATGCTAAAACACAGCAGGAAAAAGATTTGCTTGTTAACAAGTATCACAGTGTTGCTGTATGCCAGGATAGTTAGGGAAAACGTCTTCCTTTGCCTCCTTGTTTTCAGTCCTTGTTAGTGTCATCTGGATAGTATCTAGAGCAGCAAGGGTAAAATTTCCATGAGGAACTAAGCATTATAAAGAAAATGTAATGAAGCATTATGGAATTATTTTAATTGCTTTCATTATGATATTTACTCCTTGTTTAAGGTAGTCTAAGTAGTTTGATTGGAAGTTTTCTGACACTTGAAATAAGGATTTTTGCTTGTGGTAGTGAAGACTTGCACTCTGTTAACAGCTGCCTTAACTGTGTACTAGAGTTGGACTCCCCAAATTCAATTTTTCTGGTATAAAACCATTCATATTTGTCACTGTTAGCACTTGATTGCACTTGGCAGAATAAATGCAGTGCGTAAGAATATTGGTGAGATGTGGGGTGATCATAGAGCTATTTCACTTTATAAACTTGTCCAGAGAGCCTAATATAGTTTTAAGTGGACATCAAAGGCTGTGCTTAAATATAAATCTTTAAAATATTAAATACTGCATCTATTAAAATGCCCTTTAATTTCATTCTTGTTCCTCTATATATTAGCATTTATTGGTTGTGGCAGTGATACAGTATTACACAGTGTTTTGGTATGCTAGAGTTGAAAAGTTCCTCTCTTGAAGGTTGTGTTTTTTTTTTTTTTTTTCTTTCAAGGGGGGAATGGGGTGTTGCATGTGTGCACGGTTCCGTGACACAGAGAAACTGGGCATTCCACTGATCTATACTATAGCCTTTTCCTATTTACAGTGGACTGGAGAGTGAACAATAACTGCTTAACTTTCTGTAAGATCAAATTTTTCCCAAGGACTGGGGTGACAGTGTAAGTGGAAGGTGGCAGTTTCTTTATTACAAAGAAAAATTCTCCCAATTTGAACTTCTTGCAAGAGCCAACAAGAGCAAACTACACAGAGAGACTTGTGACAGGAAAAATTAGTATTAAGTTAAGATAAATGGCTAGAATTAGCATTGGTGGCCAATTAAGGAAAAGGCTGCCCTATGAAAAAAGTATGTAGTCACCAGATAGGTTGGAAAAACTGGCAAGAGTAGGTTTCTAAGTAGAAGTGTAAGAGTTGAAAAGAAAGAAACTAATTTCAATAGCTGTGACTGTGTAAAAAAAATAATCTGTAGAGCTGTAGAGGGCTTGTCCTAGTTGCCAAGTAATACGACAAACCATTTATACTAATATGGTATCTAGAAAGTGCATTGTAATTGTTGTGTGCTATATGAATATTTGTCAGGGGAGAAATTGTAAAGCCTTTGATGCACATAGGCCTACATACTTTAGGCAGACCCGAATGATGGTTCTTGCACTGTCAATGCACTGACATAACTTTTTATTTTAACTTGCTGTAAGCCTTGTTGTGCTTCATTTCTGGACTCTTAGCTGATTAATCCATTCCTCCTGTGGTACATTCATTACATTGGCTGTGATTTAATTAAGACATAGACAACAGATTCTCTGCAGAAATGATAATTTTCAACTCTGAAACATTTTAGTCGTGTTTGCTTTACAGAATTGCTTCTTTTATAGCACATGTAAGTAATAATCCGATCTCTTTAACACTAGGCAAAGTATAAGGAAGTAAAAGCAAGAAATGCACAGCTTTTGAAGATGCTACAAGAAGGTGAAAGTAAGCAGAGTTTTAACAGGCAGACTTGAAAGTTCTTTTAAAGAGACGGAAAACCCTTTCAAAGCAGCTTTTTAAAAAATACGTTGATGCAGTAACAACTATAAGGAACCAGGAAGTTATTAATTTGCAGCGACTCCCGTGAAATACAGAATCTAGACCACAAAGTACTGCACTCCTGATACTATATAATGAAATCATCAGTTGAATTTTAATAGCAGTCTTTGAAATTTAAGCTGTTCAGTTATATTTTAGGCACAACGAGTCTTTGAATTCAGGCTTTTTTTTGCCATTGACTTGATTGGTTCTGGACTGATCTTACTGTACTCCCTGTTTAGACCCTCAAGGAAGTTGTTTGGTTTTCATAGCTTTGCAAGCTGTGCTTTCAACTACTGGAAACATCGTCTTACACGTAAGCAAACCTTTTGCCAGACAGTGAATAGGGCCAACTAAACTAGCACTGAGATTGAATATATAAGTAAATTTCCTGGTATCCTTATACTTGTTATGCATAGTTATAATCCTGATCTTGTGTGATGAAATCTGCTGTCCATAACATCAGGCAAACTACAGGTATTATGAATTTGCTGTTGCTGTTCAATTTCGTAATTTAGCTCCTAAATACAGTTTCTTGTTTGGGCTGAATTTCTGAGCTAGGAAAGAGATGAATATTTTTGTTTAAAATATTGACAGGCAAGCTACAGCCAGTTTAAATGTTCAAAAAGTGATTGAGCACTGCAAATTTTTACTTGCTGGAACTTCAGGTCGGTCTCTGAGATGAGAAGAAGTACTCTCGCTTCAAAAGGAAAGTGGTGAAGTTCTTAGGTGGTTTTTTTTTGTTTGTTATGTTTTGTTTTTTCTGTTTGTGGAATAGTACTGTACCATAAAATAGTAATTTTGTGGTTTTACCAGATCTAATCTTCTGCAGATTTCAAGGTATTTTGCATTTTGGGGAGAAAATTGTTCATGGCAGAACTGAGCCTTGAAAAATCTCAGTTTGTGCATATTGAGAGTTTAGTTATCTGCAGATGTTTCATAGACACTGACTAAATACACAGTTTGAACATAAACATATCCCTATTTTAAATGTTTAATACCAGTGTAAGTCTCCGTAGGTATGGCTGAACTAATATGTGAAGCTTACAGTCCCAAAATCTTGGCTGATGACCAAAATACAGTTTTCCAATTGATCTTGTTCATAGTGTTTTTTCTCTAAAATCCTTGCTGCCTCCAGGGTTAAGCGTGGGGAAACTAGTATTAGGTTGTGGTTTAATCATTAGAACTTTTAAAGCTGCTACTAATGGCACTGGTAACTAATGATTGTTCTTAATTAACATTTGTTCTCTCAGCGAAGGCAGACTTATTTAGAAAAAACAAAATAGTGAAAGAGCACAATGCCATAGTACTGTTGCAGGCAAAGACCTGTAAATCTAGAAAAATTCTCACACTCGGTCTCTTTCTTTGTCTCTCTAGTGAAAGACAAAGCAGAAATACTCCTACAGGTTGATGAATCGCAAAGTATCAAAAATGAATTGACCTTACAGGTAAGCAAGAATTTCTTAACGTAGAATGTCATGGGTATTTCAAAGATAAAATTTATTTAAGGTAATCGGGGTGGGGAGGGGGGAGAAAGCTGAAACAAAAACTTGCTTGAAGCAAAAAAGCTGAAGAAAAACATATTTGAAGCAAAAAATATTAAATTTCATCCTTGCCCAGGCACTGTGTGTGTCAGAGGACACGTATTATGTCAATTTCCAGCATGATACACTTAAAGGTATTTCTGGAAAGACAGCAGACTTCAGCATGCCTGAAAGGATCTTGCCCTCAGCAGCCCCTTCAGAATATCATCCTCTGCCTAATCGAAAACGAGGAAGCTCAGAAAGATACTGCGGAAGAAAATGCTTCTTTCCCTTTTCTTGCTTTCTAGCCTTTAGTTAGAGAAGTGATCGTTTACCAACGTAACTGAGCTACAAATTATTTATGGATGACTGTTAGCAAGCCACTGTAGTAGAGAGCATGTAACATTGTTAAGCTTAGTTTGGGTTTGTTGTCACTGTTCTCTAAGTTCTAAACTTGCACGAACTTATTAGCATAGAACACAGTATTAGTTCTTGAGGGTGATGTAATCTAGCTCATCCGCTTTGCATAATATTACATCAGTTAAGTGCTGTATGACAGGAACAGTGCTGTATGTATGTAGAGGCTAAAACTTGAAAGAGTTTCTGACTCTGTAGCTTTCATATTACATTATAGAGGTAAACCAATAAATGTTGCTGGGGAAATAAGTCATTGTGGAGTATCTTACTTGCACTTTCAGTTCATGCACAATCATAGTAATCTTTCTTGAACCCAGCATGTGTTACCTCTTAGTCTAACACAATACTAACATAACTCTTTTGACTTGGTAAACTTGAAGATGTAAAGCATGTTTTCTAAATTAATATTCTGCATGGGTTTTTTAGGTAACTACACTTCATGCTGCATTAGAACAAGAACGATCCAAAGTGAAATTACTGCAAGCAGAATTAACAAAATATCAGGTATTCCTATTTTCTTTAGATGTAAGTTTGCCTGTTGATGTAACTGAGACTATTTCAAAGCACCATGCGCTCAGCTGGCCTGTTAGCTCTTTTTTTTTTCAGGTTAAAAAAATACCTATAGCGGTTCCATATTGTAGGCAAAAACAGCAGCAAAACTAAAGCGCAGTTTTGGCCAGAATTTTGCCACCTGTTTGTTGCCACAAACTTCTTGGTATGCTGGTAAATAATCAGCATTTTCTACAGCTTTCGTGTTCTATGTGTAACTAAACTAACAGTAGACTTTATAGTTTTTTTTTTTTCTGTCACACATTATTTCCTGGGTTCTAAATCTTACTTCTATCTGTAGCCAAATCTTTGTAGGAGATTCAGAGCAAATGCTTTTGAAATGTGAGTGGTAAGATCAGTGCCTTGCTGACTGTGCATATGTTGTTTGGTTCAACTTGGCCACTAATGCAGTTCATTTTAGTGGATTTCAGTTAACTCTCATATAAGACGTATGCTGTTAAAATTCTCCTTTTAAAGACTGCAGTCCCCAGAGAATAAGAATTTGTGCTTCTGTGTGGCTTACTTGACACATGTTCCTATTCTCTTTTACTGTGACAGTTTGCATAGGTTACAAGGAGAGCTTATAGTTTATAATGGAAACTTCTCAGGTAGCCATATAGTCTTTGGCAAGTAATCTCGTTTCAAGTTGTAACACGCTGTTTGTGTTGGAATACTGTAATTTCATTAAAACTGACTTATTAAGCCATAATTGTTCTTTCTGAAGCAACGAATCTTTTCTGATTACATCAAATTCCTTGGCTGGTATTGCATGGTGTTCTGTACTCACTCTTCTCTCTTCTTTCACTTGTCACTTACCACAACAAAGCAAGCTCCTTCTTCAAATTGTTTTGCAGCCGTTCCTAGATGCAGTGTACTTGGTCAGTCCCTTATTGACAAGCTGGGTGCTTATGCTTACACCACTAATTGAAGTAAATCTATTGTTACTGTCAAATTCAGTCATTCACATCATTGTTTAGACTTTCAACTTCAGTCTTCCTCCTTTTTTCTGTGCCTTCCCTGCTTTTGCTAATGTTTATTATTTTTCACATAAAGAGAAGATTTTTAATTAGAAACATAATTTATTTTGTGATTAATTATCGTAGCATTAACAGAAAAACAGAAGAAGGATTTACAAAAGAACTCGGCCTTTGTTTTAATTACACTTTGTAATTATTGCAAAATCATCCCCTCTGTTGCTCATTTTGTTTTTTGTTTGTTTATTTTTGTATTAGCCTTACAGGGAGAATTGCTTCTGCTTTTATTATTCTCTCCTATAATCCTCCCAGACTGCTCAGGAAAACCCTGCTTATACTACCACTTTTTTGTGGTGTTGCCTTCAAAGCATTAGACCTACCTTCTTTATTGGGATACTGCTTTGAAACATGAGACGGCCCTTCAGAAAACTAAAACAAGTATGTGTGGGTTAAAAACAAACAAAAAAGCAATAAACCTATGTTTTTATCCCCAAATGTCTCAGTTATTTGGTGTTCAGATGGGTTTCTCTTCCATATAGATAGACTTGCATAATGTAATAGAAGTTTGCAATTTAAAAAACTTATGAATTTTTCAAGTTGTTAATTACCACCATTTTAATATGGAAAATAATTGCAGATATAAAGCATCATTTTTAGTATATCAGCTAAACATTTGTTTTAATTCTCTCTTACAGGGTGGGAAAAAAGGGAAAAGGAACTCAGAATCTGAACAGTGCAGGTGATCTCCTCTGATGCCAGATCCAAAGCAAAAAACATCAAATCTTTCTTCAGGGTTTCGCAAAAATTTTTATTTGTTGTAGAACTGCTCAACTATGCAGTATTTTGAAGAGAAATTAGCAATTACTCGTTTGACTAACATTCTGAATAATTGATTTGTTGCACTTTCTCCTAAAGAAAAATTAGAAAACTAGTATTCCGGCAAAGCTCAAGTTTTAATTGTAATGCCATGACTAGTTTTTCATCATTCAATAAAACTTACTCTTCCATTTGTGTGTTTGAATTCTTGCTTTCTTAGAATTTCTTAATTAAGAAGACCTCATTTAATGACTATCAGGATACAAATGCATCAGCAGGCAAATGGTGAAAGCCTCACCAAACCAAAACAAAAAATGGGGCAGCTTATGCAAAGCCACTTCCTTGTGGCTGAGTCTGAACCTGTAGTTAATGTTAACAGTTACTGTTTCCTCTCCCTGCATAGGACATCTGTATCCTTTTATTTCCATTGTGTATGTATGTGAGTTTCTGCACGAAGATGCAAAAGCTAGCACGTGCAGCTACCACGTAAAAAGCTTTCCTGTCTTTCAGCTCTAAAAAATAGCCCGTGTGTTGCATCACAGCATGCTCAGTAATAAACAGTTTATCGTGTGCTAAGAGACAAAGTCCAGCCTCCCCCCTTTTTTTGGCCCCACGCGAACTGCCAGTGAATGTGATAGGGCTATGAAAATTCAGAATTGTTTGGCCGGCACTGAATGTAGTACTAAATCTTGGCTCTGTTGGGATAGCTGCTGGAGCGGAGTACTACCGAGTACAAATAGGAGCTGGCCGACATAAACAGATTAGAAAATTGCTGTAGTTACCTGGGCAGTCAGCAGAGAATACAGAAATTAGAAGGAAAGAACTAGAGAAGAGAAGTAAGGAGGGAAAAAAAGCAAAAGAGCTGTAGTCTTGAAAATAGAGAACTTATTAATTACCTTATATTACTTATTGTTACCTTGTTACTTACCTTATTACCTTGTTGTTTGGTTTTATTTTGAATGCAATAAGACACTGAACAATTTGCAAAGCAAGGTGCATATATATGAAGATGGCACTTTATCGAGAGGTATAAGAGGAAAGCGGGGAAAAAGGTCTTCACCAATTCATGGTATCGAAGTCCTGATACCATGAATCTCCCGAACTTTTGTGGTCATCAGCGACTTCTCAAAGATTAAGAACATGGAGGTACTAACAGTGCAATAAGACTTCTTTTTAAGAAAACAGGCCTTGAAATTAACAATCCATATTATTCTAATTTCATAATACTACTGAAGTTTGACTGTAGGTTCACTGATTTGTTTGTCCTGGGCAGAGGTGTTTTTCTTATTGTTCTGACCAGCTCTTTGAGGTTCACTTCCAAATACCATATCCTTGGGACTGATAACCACTTTTCAGTATTGGTCACAGTACCCGTGACCCAATAGGAACTGCAGCGTCTTGTCCTAACAGACAAAGCACTACTAGATGGATCCAAGTAATCTGTTTTGTTGATAGTCTGATTCAAATCAAAAGCCTTGATTCTTGATGGAGTTTTGTTTTTCATTATCTGCTTTTCTGCAGGGATTATAGTCCAAAACAAGACCGAGACTACTTCTTCTTTTTTTTTTTTTTTTTAAATCAAATCAGTGGTGCCTATAATTTCCAGATGTGACCCTTCTTCCAAAATACTTACATTTTGTGAGCAATTTTGAATTAGGAAATCCAGAATATGTATCTCTTCCTAAAATCCAATCACTGTTTCAATTCATCATTAAACTGTTAATTATATTTAGAAATAAAATTCTTAAGCTGTATTGCTTCAGATGTCTAGAAGTCAAAACCCCCCAAGTCGGCTTTCATTATTCTTTTAACTTTTCTTCCTGCAAATTTTAAACTGCACATCTGTCCCTCTTGGACGCAGAGGGCCCCTGCCCCAGGAGTCTCAGCAAAATGTTTGTTTTTCTTTCCTCCGTGAGTATTGTAGAACTAACCTGTGCTGCTTCTTGTCTTACTCAGTTTGACGCAAATGAAAATTAGTTTGTATAACGCTTGTTGATTAGGAGCAGAAGGAATTCTATTAAAATGGGAAAGAAGTTGTAGTCTAAAAGTGCATGTTCATCATCTCATTAGAAACTTGTTGTTTTTAAGTGCCAAAGAAATAGAGACACATTTCTAATTTGGGCAGTGCTGAAGACAGTTCTTACTGTTCAACACTTAACTAATCTCAGTTCCCCCTTTCCTGTTCAACATCTGGGATATGAGCCAAGCAGTCCAGCATGAATTACAAGAAAATGCTTTAATCAGCTAATTTGTTCTCCAGTTTGTGGCTCTTATGCCCGATAACAGTTGTGTATGACTCCTGGGGGAACACACCATTTTCCCATATCTTGTGGCTTTTACATTTGTAATAACTTCATGTTCATACAGTGAAAGCTTCTCTTCATAGTTGTTGCAGCCTGTTTCAGAGAGAAGACTCCCAGTATGATTTCTCCTGAAAACTGAGCAGTGCATTTGCTATTCCTTTCCCATAATCTGAGTCATTTCGGACTGTGAGTGCATATCACTTAACTGATAGCCAGCTTTGTCGATTTTGAAGATGCATACTGTAAAGCAGAGTAGTATTCTAATTGCTTTGACATAGGCTGTAAATTGTATATGTAGCAATAAATACAGGAAGACTCTGGAAACAAAGATTGTGCCTTAAAATGAAAAAAATTATCAGCACCTGAGAACCAAATGTGAGGTGACACAAAGCCAGAAAGAAAAGGCTTTTATTCTGAGCAGGAAGTGTTTATATTGCATAGGTATTATACTGCTTTAAAGGAGATGGTTAAAATGGTAGCACAGATCCTAATTTCAGCACGGGAAAGCTGTAATACTAATGAATTTTGGGAAAGGAATCTGAAGTGAGGAAAACTGAGATGTGTCTGCTCAAAGGTGAGAGAAGCTGTACAAAACAGAGGTTAGGGAGAGAAAGAGCCTGATGGGAAAAACCAACGCACAGTGGTACACAATGGTGCTGGAGGGGAAAAAAAAAATAATTGCAGAGATGGACGTGACTAAATATAACTACAAAATCTTTAGATACCAGAAGAGAGCACAGTCAATCAAAACAATAACAAAAAGTAGAGATAGGGCTAGAACATAGAGTCCACTTGGACTCTACCTGTTTACTACTCAAGATAAAAAAAACTGATGAATTTTTGTCTAGACTTTGATTCCAGCTTAGAACTAGCAGTCACAGTGCAGAAGCTCAAGGCTCCATTCCGCTCTAATGCTACTTTTATGAATCTCTAATGTTTTCTAGAAAATAAAGCCAAATCCCACTCAGGGTAAGAGAACAGCATTTCATTTATTGGCATTACTGTTGAGCTGACAAAGATGTCACACTTTGGTTCAGATCTAACAAAGCGTTACGCTTGTTTGCTGTATTAAAAGCAGGGTATTATCCAAGTGAGCCCCTTATCAACAGTAGAAGATAATTGTTCTCTATCCAGTTACACTTTAGCTTGCGGGTTTTTTTAATTTAACTTTTTTAACTGGCTCTAAAACAAGACTTCTAACCTTTGTTCTGGCAACTCAGCAATGAGAAACTTACTGTGCGTGGTTGGTTGTTTGCTTTTAAGGTCCTATGAAAGTAGATATTTATACTCCTTTTTTCTTCCCTTATACATGAAGAAACATACGAAAGGTGTACATGTTTTTAAATGCTCAAAACCATAAGGAATGTTAAGTCTTAACTTCTGGCAAAACTTTGGATATCTTGAATGTAAATTTTACTGTAATTATAGCACCTGAGACCTTGTCTAGTTTCAGGATTGTATCACTTTAACTAAAGGTGTATCTTTAGTCTGAGTTTAACTAAATTAGTTCAAAATCTTTCATTAATATTCTCAATTTGGTTCAAGTTGGCTTGAGCCAATATTTTGATTTTGATACAAATGGTCTGGTCGCTGTAAATCACTTTCAATTGTGTGTGTGTGTGTATTTGTTCTGAGTTGGATTTTTTTTTGTGTGCCAACTTAGGATGTCTTTGCATGGATGGAAAAAATAACAAATCAGAAATGTCTAAGAGTTGACAATAAAGGTGGAAAGAAAACTGCTAAGTTGGTTGACTCAGTAAACTAGCACTCTTAGATTGAAGACAATCTCTTCAGAGGTACCTTTTAACAAGAATCCATTAAAAGAAACAATTTCCATTGCTATTTGGAATTATTAATAATATAAAGTATTTTAATTTGTATGAAAAAAAATTTTCTTTCTAGTTATTAGAACAACATAATACAAATAAGGGTGTGTATATGTATCTACTGTGTCTGAAATGCTTAGCTTTTTGCTTGGTGGCAGATATCGAAAACACTAGCAACTACAAACCCAGTCCTGTCTTTTAATGAAATGCGGTTTAAAACTAGCATGAAGAATTGCTGAGCTTATATATAAATGTTCAGTTCTTTGAAAAGCTCACGCTATCCTGACTGTTTTTACAATGGACTTGACAGTGCTTTCAGATTACCTTGCACGCCTAGCAGCTGTTTGTCTCCAGGAACTTGTATTTCAATGAAGACAACCTTAATTATGGGAAAGCCTAGAGACTTTCCACTGAGAACTAGCCGCCTTTATACTACAGACTACACAGATGCACGTTAATCTCTTTTAGGACAGGAATTGTATCTTACCGCTTAAACAGCCAAAATAGATGATTCTGAATCTTCTTCCTCATCCCCTGTTATACCTGAGTTTTAATGTTATTTCTGGAAGAAGCAGAAAACCAGCGTGCTCATCTGTCCTACAGTGACAAGATTTCTGTGGTTTTTCTTTTCTTTTTTTTTTTTTGGCAGAGCTGGTAGTCTAGCTTTTTGAGGTGCCAAGCAAATCATGCACTAGAAACTGCTGTTGTGTTGGCAAAACAGGTTGTGAGACCACTCAAAGCAGTGCGAGAACATCCTTTGTTAGGGTGCTGGCTGAGACCTGAGATAAACTCCGAGCCATATTGGCAACCTCAGCAGAGAGTTAACTGTAACATTGGTATGGAAGATCTCCATGTGAATTTGACTGTTGTTCACAAGTAATTTACTTGTAGGGTAATAAATCTGAGGTCTGTTTCAGCGGAGCCCAGGATCGTTAGACTGTCTAATTTAACTTCCTTTATCAGGCACTACTTCTGTTAGATGTCTTGTGTGACAATATTGAAGTAAGCA